AACTCTATATTTATATCATGACTTCATATTTAAATTTTAAGTCATAACAGTATTTTAAAAATAGAGAGTACAAATAGAGAGTATAAAAAAATATTGTACAAAAAATATTGTACAACCGAATTTAAAACAGTCGTATATTCGTGGAATGGAGTATATAAGCGAAATATCTCATTTGTTAACGAGGGTAGATAAATTGTAGCAAAATCGCGAACCTTCAAAAGTCGTCGGCGCTAAAGTTACGCATATTGCAGTAATACAGCTACCTCAAAGGGAAGCACTTGTGGAGAACCTTGTATTAGTGGAAGTATATAGTCAAGATTCTGGGAAAGGTCTGTAGGGCAGCCTAGAAAAGGTGGAAAGATGCAGTCAAAGAAGATCTAGAGAAAATGGGAGTCCGACAATGAGAATTACTGGCACAGGACCGACAAACATGGAAGGCAATAGTAAACGCGGCAAAGACTCACGAAGAGTTGTAGCGCCATTAATGATGAAAGAGCATATGAAAGAAATGGAAGATAAAAGACATAGGCAATTCTAATGGCAATGAGGTTGAACTAATCAGGTTAACTAAATCTCGTTCTCTCGCCAACGTTTCAGACTTTTAATGATATATTTCCACTTTATATTCCCACTTCTTCTTCTTCTAGTGCCGTCTCCACTAATGAAGGTTGGCAATACCCATTACAAATGTGTCTCTATCTTCTGCTTTTCTTAAAAGCGACTGTGTGTTTAACCCTGTCTAGTCGCGAATGTTTTTCAGCCAGGATATTTGTCGTCTACCAGGACCCCTTTTTCCTTCGATTTACCCTTCATAATTAGCTGCCATAACTCATACTTATCATTTCTAAGTATGTGCCCCAAATATGCTGTGTTTCGCCTTTTAATGGTGGTCAAAAATTTTCTGTCTGTTCATATTCTGTGCAACACCATTTCGTTCGTAATATAATCGGTCCATGGTATCTTCAAAATTCTCCTAAAAGCCTCTTCTTCTTCTACTTTTTGCAGATCTTTCGTTCTGTTTAATTCTGAAGCTGCCTCTGGTTAATTTCTTGGGAGGTAGATTGCCAACTATCCATCCATCTTTTAGGTGGTCTTCCGGGGGGTCTTGAACCGGGCGGATTGTTTTCTAGGGCAATTTTTGGGAGTCTATTCTCATCCATTCATCTTACATGGTTGTACCACATCCTCTTGCGCTGCCTTCCCCATCTTACAATATCTTGAATTTTGCACTGCTCTCTAATGTTTGTATTTCTCACTCTGTCTCTTATTGTTTTCCCCATTATTGTTCTTGGGGTTTTCATTTCGGCAACCCTTAGCATCTGTTTTGTTTTGTTGGTATCTTCGCGCACTTCTATGCCATATGTCATGATCGGTCGTATGCAAGTCTTATAGATTCTAATTTTACTATCTGTGCGCATATACGGATTTGACCAGACTATCTCCCGCAGACATCCTGACAGTGCAGATGTTTTGTTGATCTGACTCCTCAGGTCCTTTACTGGGTCGTGGGTGCTTAATATATCTATGCCCAGATATCTGAATTGCATCACCTGTTCTATGGGGTTGTCCTCAACCACTAACTTACATCTGAGCGGATCTTTTGCTTTTGTCATACATTTAGTTTTGTTGGTAGAGATGTTCATATTTAGTAGTCGGCTTGTTTGAAAGAACTGAAAGAGCTGCCTTTGGAGGTCACCTTCTGATTCGGCAATAATTGCTGCATCGTCTGCGTAACACACCATACCAATTCTTTTGTTGCCCATTCTATATCCGAGATTAAGAGATGTTACTTTGTTGATAATTTTGCCCATGAGAAGATTAAACAAGAAGGGGCTTAAACTGTCGCCTTGTCTAATTCCTCCCGGTGTTGGAATATTTTCAATGAATTCGTCTCCTGCTTTAACTTTGGTTACGTTGTTGTTATTAAGGTTATGGAGTATCTTTGTTATACTGGGCGGTGTTTCATTTTCTATTAATATATTTAGAATGTCTCCCAGGCGAACTCTGTCAAATGCCTTCGTCAAATCAATGAAGCAATAGCTTCTGCGTCTGTTATAGACCGCCCTTTTGTAAAACCTTGTTGTTCTTCAGCATTAGTGATTTGCTTTTCCAATTTGTCCTTGAGAATACCCGTGAAAAGTTTCATTGTTGTATTTAAGAGAGTTATTCCTCTATAGTTTTGTGGGCAGGTTTTTTGTCCTTTTTTTAAATATGGGGATTGTGATACTATTATGCCATTCCTCTGGTGTTTCTGTTTTGTTTAATATTTTGTTAAATAGTTGTGCCAGTTTACTTGCAAGTTCCGGGCCTCCATATTTTAAAAGTTCATTGGGTATACCATCCGTTCCCGGTGATTTTCTGTTTTTTAGCTTTTTGATCTTTGCTTCTACTTCTTCGTCATTGATTGTAGCACTCACATCTGTTTCGCCTTCGATTATATTCAGCGTTTCTTCAGCATCATATAGCTCTTTAAAATGCTGTTGCCATGCCTCTATAGGTACTCCTTTGGTCTGCACGAACTCGTTAACTGGTTTTTTCCTGTTACGGAGCATTTTCCATACTTTCTTTTGGGCACCATATAGGTCGTAGTCCATGTCGCAAGTGAATTTGGCCCAATGTTCTCTTTTGATTGATTTTATTCTGGCGTTTACTTCGTTTCTTATTTGGACATATTCTGCATATTCTTCGTTTCTTATTTGGACATATTTGAGATGTGCCTAAAAGCCACATCTCAAAAGATTTGAGTTTTCTCATTAAGTCAACAATAACAGTCCAGCCTTCGACATCATAAAGAAGAACATAGTGGATAGAACATTTTACCATCCGATATCGGATTTGCAGATTGAGTCTTTGGTTACTCAGAAATTTACTCATCTTCAAAAAAGCTGCACTTGTTTGCTTTAAGCATGGCAAATATTAGGATTATTACAAAATTGACTTAATTTTTGATATGCTGAAAGATATAAACCTACCATAACAATACAATTCCAACATAATTTATAAATGAAAGAGGTTATGATACTGGATGATTTTAAGATCAGAACATTAGAAAATACTATTGAAAGAAATAAGTAAACTGGGTTACATTGTCTAATGTAACCCAGGTGAATTATGAATTACGATAAGTGAAGAAAAGGTTTAAAAAGCAGAAACCTTGTTAAAAAATGGTTCTTCTCCCGGTCTCAAAGAAACACCCATTTCATATAGGTATACACAAGAAACAAAAAGTGACCAAAATAAGCTAGACATTTTACAATATCTCAAGAGATGTAGTAGATGTCATGTTATGTTACATCTTTGGACCTTTACAGATTAGTGGTACATATTTGTACCATTGCTCTTTTCCATAGATTTATAGATGGTTCAAATATGCAAATCCTTTTCAGAATAAATTAAAAGCTAAAATGACGTCATAAAATGGTACAAATCGATACCTAGTAAAAATAATACCTAATACTAGTAAAAATCTATGTATATAAAAGGCTAAAACGACAAGATACACTGTTTGTCCGGGTAGGGTAACTATGCCACCATAGTCATATTGAATTTACAATAGAAACAGAACAAAATCAATCCATAAATTTTTTAGATTTAAAAATTAGCAGACTTTAAGAAAGCCCTGAAATTAGTATTTCCACCACCAGAGAAAAAACCCAGTACCTTCTGCTCGATTACATATAGAGGCAAAATAACAACAAAAATTGCCAAACACATAAAAAATAAAGGAATAACACCATCTTTCCGAACAAATAACAACCTAGGCAAATATATTAAAAATAACAAGAGCCAAAATAAAAAACACTTAAATAGTGGTGTGTACAAACTTCAATGTGGCGACTGCCCAAAAACGTACATCGGTCAAACTGGTAGAAACTTTGATAAATGAATAGCAGAACATAAAAGGGCTTTCAAGAATAGAAAAACAGATTCGACATACGCACTTCACCTTCTAGATCATAATCATTCTTTTAATGACAAATTTAAAATTCTTCACATTCAAAATAAAGGCCTTAAGCTATCTTTGTTAGAATCTATGGAAATCAACAAATTAAAAAACACAGATATAATTCTGAATGACCAACTTGAGACAAACAGTTCTCTCCTCCTCAACCTATTTCATTAGAGACTATAAATTTGTAAACCCAAGCCAAAATAGATCACTTGAGAAAGGCAATCAGCCGAAACAGCTGTAGTGATAAGATTTAAAATTAATTTTGTGGAAGTTTGAAAACAAAGTGTTCAGTGTTTTATTGTTACATAAAATGAATTTCCATTAAGTCACGGTCGAATCCATCAATTATTTTATTTTTATTACTTGTTAAATACTGATGCCATCAATTTCTATTTTACATCTGGTTGGTTCTTTGCTGATTACTATTGTTTCAGTTTTCTGAGATGAGATTGCCCTATTAAATTATTTTGCTTGTATGTTAAATCTATTTTTACTTCTTTGTTTCCCATTCTGTATTCTCTGCCTTTGTTAACGCTGTTGATGATTTCATCCATGAATAAATTGGAAGAGTATGGGGCTCAATGAATCCCTTGTCTTATTCCGCTGCCTATTTCTATAGGTTTTGTAAGTTTTTATAATATTTAGGGGAACTTCTCTAGTACACAGAAGATAGATTACATCTTTGAGTCTTACATAAATCAGACTCTAACTTGCATCCATTCTTTTAAAATATAGCCTTGGATAAAACGTATCTTATTTGCATTTGAAATTATATTATGAACAGATTATGAAATACAGTACTCTTATGTTCAAATGATTTTCAAAATTAAAATTAAAAGTATTTACGTGGGAAGAATATATAAATGATTTATTTAAAACCCAAAAACCTCATTTAAATCTTATACTTAAACTAATTAAAACACCTAACAAATGCCAATAACAAAGGCATAATCACAGAGTTGGGCGAAATTTATATTTATATTGAGATTAACTCGTTTATTACTTCCGTTGTTCTAGCTATAAAAGAGAATCAAAAATTGGACGACTTAACACCAAACGTTTGACTTTCAGGACTAATCATCTAAAAAGTCTCACCGAAGATGAAGGGGTACATTTTCCTGTTAATTGTGGTAAGTTACACATCAAATCATTGTATTAACTTTAGTTTTATTTTTAACAGTAAACAACAAATTATTGCTTCGTTATATTCCAACGACCGACGTGATCAGATTTTTCTGTTTATTCTGTTCTTTCCTCTCTGTATATAGAAAATGTTCTAAAATATCGATTAAGTGATGAGTTAAACAACTTTAATTCCAAGCACCATCAAAAATTGATAGTCATTTCAAATGAGCCAAATTGAATTTATGTTCAAATTTGTTTAAGCGAACTAGTTAGTTTGCCATGTAACCATTTCTGTAATTAAAATGACCTTTTACATATATTATTGTAACGTAACTTTATAGCTTTGTAAAAATTTTACTTGCATTTAATTAATTAAAGAGACATAGGCTTATATTCATTATATAATTAACCAAAACTCGTTGATATTGAGGGAGACCCTACGCGGTACCTGGTGCCCAGTAAGAGTGTTATTACCGCCTCCCTCTGGAGTTTTCGAATTCGCTGAACACGAATATGACATCATCAACAGCCTTCGGTGTACCTGGAACCCGTAAGAGTATTATCAACTCCTTTTCCTGGAGATTTGTGTAAATTCGTTATATAATTATCAAAAGCTCGTTACTCGGAGGATTTTCGAGGTGGATTTCCTAATACGAATGTGACACCGGCAAGAATCTCCGGATTATCTGGTGCTCGATACGGAGTTATGAACACCTATCTCTGGAGTTTTGTGAAAATTCGTTATATAATTTACCAAAACTCGTTACTAGAAGGGTTTTGAGGTCGATAAACATGATAACAAGTGTGTGAGTGATGACGGAGTGATGACGACAGACTGAATAGCAATGTGTTTTGGGAAAGACCAGATGGTAAAAGATAGACAGGAAGGCCTAGAAAAAGGTGGAAAGACGCAGCCAGGGAAGACCTGGAGAAGATAGAAGTAAGGCCATGGGAAATAATAGCACAGGATCGGAATCAATGGAAGGCAATAGTAAACGCGGCAAAAACTCACGAAGAGTTGTAAAAGCCAATGATGATGATGAAACATGATAACAAGGTTCTTCAAAAATTCATTTGTGCATTAAAAAAAACTGTAAAATTAAAAAAAATTTAAGTGCATTTCTAAGGAGTTAAAGTTAAAAAGAAGTTAAAGAAGTTAAAAAATGCATCTCGATAAATATTGAAAAAAATGAGTCAACGTTCTTACTTCTCTTCATTTATTCGAAGCCTCAAACCACCTCTTTCCTCCTCGAGTTGTGAAAACACCTTAGAGTGTGTGTGTGTTGGCAAAGGCCAACAATAGTTTTGATCTTCGTTTTTGCAAATTTTCTTGTCAGCTCAGACGATATGTTACTAGGTCTAAGTCCTGATGTTATACTAAATGGCATAGATGTTCTGTTTACTGCCTTTACCTGTGGATATGAGTCTGTCACACATATTTGAGTAAGCTCCACTCATTTTGTTGGTATTCCTATTTCTAACATTGCTAGCCATAGTCTGCTTCTGTTTATCGAATCATACGCTTGCAGGAAATCTACGAAAATTTGATGTACATCTCAGTTTTTTCTATCATTTGTCGGATCGTAAATATTTAATATATTGTTGTCCTTTCAGCACGAAAGCCACGTTGGTAGTCGCTTAGAATATCTTCCAAATACGGAGTGAGCTTGTTTAGCAAGATAATTGATAGAACTTTTTATTCAGTGCTAATAAGCGATATGCCTCTATAGTTTTGAAATTATTTTTTATCTCCCTTCTTATTGTATGGGTATTATAATGCTTCCATTCCATCCCTAGTCATTTTCTGTTGTTGCCATACTCTCGGAATAATGTCATACCATTTTTAATGTAAAACGTTTCCTCCTTTTTTATTATTTCTCCATTTATACCAATATTTTTTGACGTTTTGTGATCTTGAAGAGATGCTATCGCATTCTTATCTTCTGGAAGAGTTGGTGCTGGTATTTTCACATCTGCAAAATGAAATGTAATATCTGCTCTGTCTTACTTTCAATATTTAGTAAATTTAGAAAGTATTCCTTCATCGTTTGACGATTTTTATTTCTACCATTATTAGTTTACCTGCTTTATTTCTCAATTTTGTATTACCACAACAGTTCCACCTTGTCGGACTTTCTTCACTTCCCTAAAGGATTTCTTTACTTGATTCCTCTTGCCAGTTACGTCCATTTTTCGTATTAACTGTTCTATGTAGCTGTTCTTTTTAGTTCTGAGTAGTTGCCTGATCTGTGCTCTTGTTCTGTGAAAATCTGCTATATAAATAATTTGATTGCTTTATGCAATTACAGGATGTGACACGGTATCGGCATCTTATAATCAAGACTTTAAAAAATTAAAATTTTTTTATACTTTTTAAAGGTGTCCTAATCTTGTAATTCATGCAAAAAAAATTAAAGAAAGAAATTTACCTGCCAAAAACATATACTTCATCTAATTTACTTACCGTTGCACGTCATTATCATTGACAGAGATCGAAGTTGACATAGTTGTCAAAGTATAAAAAAATCCTGACTCCATTTTAAATCAAATAGGTCATATAATTATTGCAAAAGTATTACCATCTCTTTACAACGACTATTTAAATTCTTACGTGACATGTTTGAAATAAAGACACTAATTTTGTTCTAAAAAGAACCTATTTTATTAAATAGGTAAAAATATAAAATAAGAGGTGTTCACTTTAAAATTCAAAATAATAAAGTACAAAAAGTGTCAACACCGCAACTGTCAAACAAGTGTTACCAATTTATGACAAAATATCATCTTCCTTCGATTACAGTTACAGTGTGTTCCGAATAAATGTTCTTCATAAAAACGCTTTATAATGCATTTATACAAATTAAATGAAACATATTATTGTGTATTTCTTTAAGTTAACATTAATAGAAATTTTTAAATATTATTTCTACGCGTATATAATAAAATATGTCTAGTGGTTGTAATGCCAATGTACTCGGCCTAAAAAAGAACACACCTACCGCCTAAATATTTCGTGTTGGTATCATGTGACCTCACGGACTATGACGCGGATGACGTGCAACGGTAAGTAAATTAGATGAAGTATAACTGACTATGGTTGTCAAGTTCTCTTGGCCATGTACTTCACGTCACTTAAAGTTTTACGAAACCAAATATTCACGATTAAGCTAAGTAACATTCAATTAACTGAAAACTACAGGTAGACAATGTACTTAACAGCTATTTCCAAAAATAGAAAAGTTGCTATTGGCAATATTCTGTCTACGGTGAATGCACATACTCAACATTTGAAAATAATTTACTTGCAACTACAAAATTGGCTTCATAGAGAAGACACAAATAATATTAATCCAACTGATTGGGGATGGAATTTAAAAAACAATTCCTAAGTTCGTATCAGAATTATGGCTAATTAAAGTATAACAGGTGCCATGAAAACAACACCAAATGCTGCAATGGAATTGATCATTGGCATTACGCCTCTAGATATATTTGTCAAAGAGGTGGCGCTAGTAACAATGATGCGACTGCGCTCAGCTGGTGCAAACGTTGATGTAGGAATGGGGCAATTGAGAACTCGTTTCTGGCGGGGAGAGCTGGATGCGCTACCACTACTACAGGTAGGCTGCGATTCAATTGAACCAAAGTTTGTCTTTAACAAACCCTACAAAATCGAAACAAGACAGTATAGGGAGACAAACGTGGCAAATGCTTATTGCATAAACACCGATGGCTCCAAAATAAAAGAAGGCTGTGGGATAGACTCCAGATCACTGCATCTAAGAATAAAGTGGGGTGTGAGCAAAAATGCCAGCGTAGTTCAGACAGAACTGGCTGGGCATCTCCATAGCCGCAAAAGAGATAACCAAAAAGGTATAGCAGGGAAAACTATAATGATATGCACAGATAGCAGACAAGCGCTACTAACCTTGAATAGACCACGTGTCACATCAGGGCTAGTAATGGAGTGTCACGAGTCACTAACTCAGGCTTCAGATGGTAATACCATCATTCTGAGGTGGTTTAAAGGACACAATAGGAATAAAGGCAACCGCATTGCTTACCAATTGGCTAGGAAGACTGAAGCACCAAGACTCTTAGGACCTGGAGATCTTTTTGTTTGGTCAACTGCAACAATCGCGGATATGGTCAAATGTCACTCCTATACGCAAACCCAAAAAAGATGGGAAGAAGGTCAAGGATGTAAACTTGCCAGGGTAACACTAAGTAACCTTGAAGAGTCAGCATCAAAGAAGTACTTGGGAATGACCAGGAAAAACCTACGCTGGACAGTTGATTTTTTAACTGATCGTGACTGTCATTAACTGAACGAGAAGACGAAACTGTAGACCATGTCCTATGTGAATGCCCGGACTTATCGTTAATACGACAGTACGCGTTCTTCGAGTCCTGACCCACACTTGCCCACATAAGAGAGATGTCTCCTGGTGACTTGTCCACCTTCCTAGAAATGGCAGGATGGACAATGAGCTAAGGGAGACAACTCCCTGGGAGAATGCACAATGGGTCAATTGTGGCCTAAGTACTGTGTAACTGAACTCGCCCCCCCTACTCTACAGATTCAGATATGGCTAATTAAATAATGAATTTTCACAAAACTTATAGAGGAAGATTTTATAAATTTTTTAACTATAAATACTTAATAACACACTTTTTAAATGAATTTTTCTAATGCAGTTTTTCATTTCCTCATGGTCAGATACGGTCACAAAGTTTCTAGAGATTATTAAGAATTGAATGTTAAAACCCCATTCAAATGTGCTTCGTTTGATCGAATAATAAATGAGCTTAAAATACGCATTGTTTATTATAGGTCCAATTAAAAAAAAGGAATAGGAAGAACAAAGGTAGCTCCTAAATGTTTGACAATTATTAATTCTTTTATTTAGTTAATTAGAAAATAAATAACAAAAATAATATCGACAAAATGTATGTGTCAATGTAATACACTCACCGGCAAAATTAACGGAACACCTTAAAAATGGGACATGTTAGATGACTCGAATTTCCTAAACCTGTTGTCCGATATTAGTGATTTTTTTAGTATGTTATAGGTATATTATTTAAGAATATCGATGTAATAATATTGTTGCTAGACAGGTCAATGTCATTTTATACCGGGTGTAACAATCATACTGTGTTTTTTCCTTAAAGTTCGAAACACCCTGTGGAATATTCTAGCATATATAAAATATTGAAATTAAAGCTCAATTATAGTCCCAGGCTTTCTTAACATTTTCTTTTTTGATTTATTTGCTTGTGTTGGATAATAAAAAAGTTAGATACGTTAACAACTAGCCATGTTTTTCATCAATAAATGCTCATTTTCTTCTTAGTTTCACCAGCATATTTAAAGGAACAACCATAAAATCTGAGAATTTTCTCTCTAGTCTATATACTGTTTAGATAATATCATAATACGAATGTTGGTGAAGTATTTTGAATTTATATTACAATGGTAGTACAATATAAAACCTGTTTAAGAAGAAATAAAACACAAAGATGTCAGACTCAACAAAATACGGATTTTAAATGCATTAACTTTAGTGTACAGTTTGAACTTAAATTGTTTTTTATGCATTTTTTTGGCTTTAATAGCGTGTGTTTCCCCTACGAGCCCTTACAACTGCAGTTATTCGTCTTATACTTCTGATAACGCTATCGATCAGTTGTTGGGCAACCTCTCCCATTTCTCAATATTTTGCAATTGTGACTTCTTCTCTGTTTTGAATAGCAGGAACCCGTGTCCTAAGTTTTCTGCCTAGCATGTTCCACATATCCTCTATCGGGTTTAGGTCTGGGGAACAAGCTGGCCAATTCATCGTTGTTATACCCACTTGTAATAAGAAATATCTTACACTTACACTCTTATACTATAAAATAAAATTTTCGCCAATATATGGTGAAAAAGGTACCACATGGTCTTGGAGAATATCTCTGATATACTTATCTGCTGTTAATGCTCCACCATCAATCACCACTAACTCTGTTATTGCTCCCAAACATATACCGCCCCACACATAATTGAACCTCCACCAAAAGGTACGGTCGTAGTAAAATTGAAAGGGGCATTTCGTTCTCCTTGGCGTTAATACAATCTTTCTCTACCGTCGATGTAATTTACACAGAAACGGCTCTCGTCCGTAAAGAGAATTTGACTCCAGTGGTTATCATTCCAATTTTGATGTACTCGACCAAATTGTAGTCGTGCTAAACGATGGTGTCTCTGGAGTCTGGGAGATTTTATTGGCACATATGACTTGAGACCGGCTTCTTTAAGTCTCTTTCTTATTGTGCGCTCAATTAAATACAAGTTTGTACTTGTTATGAACAGACAGAATGACTGTAAAATGTAAAACACAATACAAATAAACAAATTAATTTGACATTTTGACATTTAAGACTTTCTTGTGACAAGGAGCTTTCAAAGCTATGTAGATATAGTCTATAAAATACAAATATAAAGAAATATTGCATTAATAACAGGTTCCTTTAAATTTGCCGGTGTGTGCATTAAATTGTTAACTTCTCATAGCCTACTTTAGGCTTGTTTTTAAACTAAGCAGAAAATGAGGATTTATTGATGAAAAACATGGCTAGTTGTTAACGTACCTAACTTTTTTATTATCTAACACAAGCAAATGAATCAAAAAAGAAAATGTTAAGAAAGCCTGAGACTATAATTGAGCTTTAATTTCAATATTTTATATATGCTAGAATATTCCACAGGGTGTTCCGAACTTTAAGGAAAAAACACAGTAGGATTGTTACACCCGGTATAAAATGACATTGACCTGTCTAGCAACAATATTATTACATCGATATTCTTAAATAATATACCTATAACATACTAAAAAATCACTAAAATCGGACAACAGGTTTAGGAAATTCGAGACATCTAACATGTCCCAATTTTAAGGTGTTCCGTTAATTTTGCCGGTGAGTGTATTAAAAAGCTTGAATTTTCGTTGATTAGAACTGGAGATATTGCCACTATTATAAATTTGGATTTATAAGTTCAGTTTTTTAAATGTAACTTATATTCTAAGGGTTGTGGGACATTATACATATTATTTTCAGCTAGTCAGGTGTAAAGTAAACTCTCAAGTGTAGTGTTGTTTATTATTACATCTTGGATATTCGCTAGCTCGTTGTACATGGTTTTCGTTTTTTTAAGTTCATTTTTAGGCCAACTTCATTGCTAGCTGCATTTAGGTCGCAACGATGTCGTCTGCAAATCTTAGATGGTTGAGGTATTCTTTATCAATTGATATTCCTTTGATCTGCTAGTTCATTCTGCTGAATATATTTTCTAGAGTTTCAGCAGCTTTGGTGATATTGCCTCCCCTTCGCGGACGCCTCTGGTAGTAGGAAATTCTGGAGTGTCTTCATAAATTTTTACCTTAGCTTTTGCGTGTCTGTATATATCGTCTAAAGTTTCTATACACGGCCTGTCAATGCCTTGGTTCATGAAGGCTTCTATTTCTGCCTTGGGATATATAAAATTGAAAGCCTTCTCAAAATCTATAAAGGTTAATGCTAGCGTTATTTCATATTCTTAAGTTCTACTCCTTAGTTCTCAAAGCTTATGAATATGATCCATGGTACTAAATCCACTTCTGAAACAAGCTTGCTCTTTCGTATTGTGTTTTTTATGTTTAGTACTGTATGTAACGTCTAATATTATGATAATATACCTATTTTACAACTTGTTATATGAATAATTTTTTTTTGTAATAAAGGTGCAAGCCACATTTTTTCGAATTTTTTTTGGTTTTTTTCCATAAAAACGACTTTTTTAAAATTAGCTTAGCGTTTCAAGGATAGTAGATATACAGCCTTCAAATAACACCATTTACTGAATTTCTAATCTATATTTGGTATTTCAGGATTTGAATAAAACCTTTATAATTGATTTTCTCAAAAACTTCCCTCTTCCATCTTTTTCGAGAGAAAAAACTACTTAACAGATACCGTGTGAGATCATCAAGTGAAAAACAATCATTTCTGAAATGAGATCCTTGAGATTTTAATATTCATATGATGGTTTTAACGTTTAATTTTGTCGTTAGCTTGAATATTTTATTTATTTATGGTAAATTAACTTAAGTTTGCATACTAAAATTATTAATGAAATTTCAGTTGCTGTTCAACGTGGTCAATGGTTATTATGATCATCGAAATGGATGGCAATTTAGACCCCGAAGGCCTATACATTCAAGACCCCGAAGGCCTATAGATCTAAGACCCCCAAATCCTCCAGTTATAGGACCCCGAACGCTTTTAGATGTAAGATCCCTCGGACCTATTAATTTGTTAGACAATTTACCTGAAATGAGAGATGACTTTTTCGAAAGTGGTAACCCCGATAAGTATAATAGAATCCTGGATGATGCCGTAAAATATTTACTGCCACCGCTTGATGATTACCTCGATTTATCAGAAATTTACCACTTATTGCCAAATCGTAGTCCAAGCCAAAAACAACCGTTAAAATTTCCTACTGATCGTGTGACTAGAGGTCCATTGATTGGATTAGCCCGATACAGATAAACAACCGAAGATTATGCTCCAGTTATATTTCCTAATAATGTTGTTATTCCCTCTTATATTTTTCTTCCATTAAAACTGTTAATAAAATGATAGATATAACAAAAACATATATTTTCGTGTTGTTATGGTACTTATCAACTAGTGTGGTACCAACCATTCTGGCTGCATGCACTGATCCAATACATATATAGCTTTAATTATAACTGGGTTTCTAATACATCTCTTAACTAAAAGCGTTTGTTTTTTATTTTAAATAAAAAATTTCAACACAAGGTCATTTGGAAAGCAGTGGACTAAATCGGTTATATAGCGACACTAAATTGGATTCATGCATGAGAGTTACAGCAGCCAGAGAATCTTTTAAAAGAATAATTTATGCCTTTAGAATGTACAGCCTCGGAACCGGATTGATATTATGAAGACGACCACGGCAAGAAATAAGGACAAGCGAAAAACATTCAAAAACTCAGATAAGAATTACTACTTGGAATATCAGATTGCTCAACTCAAGGGACCAAGAAATAACCCAAGTGCTGAAAGAGAAAGAAATAGAAATTTGTGCTCTACAGGAAACAAAAAAGAAAGGAAAAGGCCATTCGCAATTAAGGGAATACATGCTAGTCTACAGTGGAGTGGCGAAAAAAAAACTAGGCCAAAGAAGATGTAGCCTTACTAATACACCAAAGGTACCAAAATCACATCAAAGAGTGTCAATACATATCAGAAAGAATTGTAACTACCAAGATAAGAATGGAGAAGGAAGACCTGAACATCATCGGAGTATACGGCCTAGAAAATAACAAGCTTCAAACAAGGATCAAGTCAAAAGGATAATGATAATATTAGGGTATTTTTAACGCTCGAACAGGCAATCAAGTAATACCCGGAATTAAGCAAAAACATAACGAGGATGTTAAAAACGAAAATGGAGAACTGATGATAAACATCTGCACGAATAACGAACTTAATAAGAATAAACAACACATTTTTGACCACAAAGACCAACACAAATATAGAGTTAATAATACTCGTGGACAAAGAAAACGCAAAACTACAAACATTGAGAAAACGCAAAATAAGGAATCCGAGACAATTACGTACAGGAAATGGAACAACATCTAAATAGAATAGACCAGAGCAATGATGTCGAAAGGCTGTGGCAACAAATGGAAAAATCAATTACAGAGTCAGCAGAACTAATAATAGGAAAAAGAAGGACGAAAACAAGGAAATGGTTTGATAAAGAATGCCAAGAAAAATTACAAGACAGACAGAAAAAGCGAAACATTATGCTTCAACAAGAAACAACAGAAAGTAAAGAAAACTATACAACATCACGACGAGAAACAAGAAAACTAATTAGAGAGAAAAAAAGAAAATACGAACAACAGCAGTATGAAGAAATGGAAATAAATAGACAACAGTCAAATAGTCGAGCATTTTACAAATCTGTGTCAAACGCATGTCTGTACTGAGGAAAAATAATGATGAATTAATAATCAACGAACAAGAATTACTCCAAACATGGCAAGAATATTTCAAAAATTTACTTAATATACACCAAGATGAAGAACATGGAGAGGATATATACCTTGGGGTGGACCTACCGGTAGAGTACCCAAAAATAGACGAAACATTGCAAGCAATTAACAAATTGAAGAACGCAAAAGCTCCAGGCTCTGACAATATACCAGCCGAATTTCTTAAGTACGGAGGAGAAACTTTACATAGACAATTACACAAACTAATAACACTTATATGGAACGAAGAGAAAATACCAACAAAATGGCACGAAAGTGTAATAATTCCTATCCATAAAAAGGGAGACAAAACCAAGTGCTCTAACTATAGAGGCATCTCCCTACTTAATACGGCGTACAAAATCTTATCGAACATCCTATTAAGTAGACTAACACCTTTTGTAGAAAATTTCATAGGGGAATACCAAGCCGGATTCAGAAAAAATAGATCGACCATAGATCAGATTTTTACTCTCAGGCAGCTGCTTGAAAAAGGATGGGAATTCAATAGAACCATTCATAATCTCTTCATAGATTTCCGACAAGCATACGACAGCATTAAAAGGGATCAGATGTGGAATGCAATGGCAGAACTTTCAGTTCCAAAAAAACTTATCCAGCTCGTTAAAGTTTGTGTAAATGGCTGTAGATCTAGAGTGCGGATAGGTAACAAGCTCTCAGAGTCGTTTGAAATAAACAGTGGACTGAAACAAGGAGACGCGCTGTCACCTCTTCTTTTTAATATAATCCTGGAAAACGTAGTAAGAACCGCACAAATTAGAACAGAACTACTGACAGTAAATGGACCAAAATTACTACTAGCATACGCGGATGACATTGACATTGTAGGAAATACCGTCACCAATGTAAAAGAAACCTTCAATAAATTAGAGAGAGAGGCAAAAAATACCGGTCTAAGGGTCAATGAAGAGAAAACCAAATATATGTGCATTAACAGACAAAAGAGACGAGATAGAATAGGACAAAATGTAACAATAAACCCCTATAACTTTGAAAGAGTGGAGAGTTTTAAATATCTCGGAGCGACTATCACCACAGATAACGATATCACGGAAGAGATAAAAGGGAGAATTCAGGCAGCAAACAGATGTATGTATAGCCTCCACAACACTATTAAATCCAAGAGCCTAACACGAACATCAAAAATCAGGATATATAAAACAGTAATTAGACCGGTGCTCATGTATGGATGTGAGACGTGGACGCTGACAAAAGCAATGGAAAGTAAACTCAGATGCTTTGAGAGAAAAATCCTAAGAAAGATCTTCGGTCCCTATCACGATCCGAATACTAACCAATACCGAATGAGAACAAATGCCGAGGTCAAACAAATGTATAGTGCTAGCGACGTAGTCCAAGAGATTAAATCCCAACGTCTAAGATGGGCTGGCCATGTTCATAGGCTCCCTAATAACCGCCTTACCAAGTTAATCTGGGAAGAAGTCCCGACAGGGAGAAGGCCCTTAGGACGTCCACGAATGCGATGGAGAGATAATATATGGTCAGATTTGAGAACAATGGGGCTACCCACTGACTTAAACATCATGGACGACCGTTCGAGATGGAAGCAGGTTGTGCAGTCAGCCAAGACCCACCCCGGGTTGTAGTGCTACCAGAAGAAGAAGAAGTGGACAAAGATCTATGGTAGATTATGTGATAACCAATAAAGATATACATCCATCGAAACTAATCGACATTCGATGCCTCAACTCAGCAGATGTAGATAGAGACCATAGCCTAGTATTATGTAAAATAAGAATCATTCTTCAAATACTTCACACCCAAGAGAGTGCACACAAACAAAAATCAAAGTCGAAGGAATAAATACGGAATCCATATACAGAAAAAGAATATCATTGAAGATTACTGGGAATGGAAATATTAGATCATGAGAACATCGGGGAATGCTAGGAAAAACTCAAAAATAACATAATAATCGTATCAACAGAATTACTTGGAGAGAAGAAAGTAACAAACACCAACATATTAAAAAAGAGAACACCATGGTTTAGAGAGGAAGTGAAGAGAAAATATGAAGAAAAGAAAAAAGCTTTTTTACATTACAGAACACAATAGGCATATAACTACTATAAACGAATCACAAATGAAACAAATACTTTGGTTAGACAAATATAAAGGCAACATTGACAGAGCTTCTTAAAACAGACGGAACACGACTTCCACGTAATACAAAAAAAATATGGAGAATGATCAGAGGACCAAGAAAAGAGATGAACGAACTTGTAAAACCAAAACACATTCAGAATGAAATATGGGTAGACTACTTTCGATCCCTATTTGCTGAAGGTGACGATATTGAACCACCAACACCACAGGTGACTACAAACGAAGAGATAAATATAAAGAGGTAAAGGAAGCATTAAGGAAATTAAAGAATAGAAAATCACCAAAAGAGAACAGAATACCGAACGAACTCCTAAAGTTCTGAAGACCAGATCTGACCAAACCACTAATAAAAATAATTCAAAAAATAATAGAACAAAACAGAATTCCTCAAGAATTGAGATCAAGCATCCTAATACCTCTCTTCAAAAAGGAAAACCAATCGGATCCGCAAAATTACAGAGAAATTATTTTATTAAATACAACAATAAAATTAACAACCAAAGTGATAACAAATAAACTGAATGAACTTATAACACTAGCAGAAGAACAACAAGGTTTCAGGTCGGGAAGATCATGCATCGGACGCTATATTTATAATGAGGCAAGTACAAGAGAAATTATTGGAATACAAAAAACCAGCATATCTATGTTTCGTGGATCTTAAGAAGGCATTTGACTTGGTCAAATTAAAGGGCGTTATCCACTTATTATACGCAAGAGAGATACCTCTAGGAATAATCAAAACGATCGAAAATATTTAGCAAAACAACGCAATAAAAGTAAAAGTGGAAGAAGAACTAATCGACCCTATAGAAGCTGACAATGGGATAAGATAGGGAGATTCCCTGAGTCCTATATTGTTCAACCTGATTATTGATGAAATAATAAAAAAAAAGTAAGAACTGAAAAAAAGGATACCATTTTGGGAAAAATAGTTTAAAATAATCTGCTATGCAGACGACGCAATACTACTATCTCAAAGTAAAGACGCTTCACAACGTATGCTGCACCAATTTAATATAACCGCTAGGAAATTTACCATGTTAATTTCCCCAAAAAAGACAAAATGCAGGATTTCAACAGCAAATTTACTAAGATGTAAATTGGAGCTGGAAGGTTAGATAGAATAGAATAGAACAAGTGATGCAGTTTAAATATCTAGGCATCACATTATCTAGCTGCGGAAAGCTCGAAAATGAAGTGGAAGATCAAGTGAATAGGGCAAACAGAGCCGCTTGCTGCATGAATGAAACATGGAGAAATAAAAATATCAGGAAAGAAGTAAAAGGCAGAATTTACAAAACAATCATCAGACCAATAATAACATACGCGGCATAAACACGACCTGACACAGAGATGACAAGAAAGATGTTAAAAACAGAAAAAAAGCAGAAGAAGAAGAAAAAGAAAAAGAAGAGTTAAGCTCCATCAATCCTCCAACTTGACAAATATTTTACAAATAAAGAATATATTTAAAAAGGAAAAGACAGTTAAGATTTGATTTCACGTATGGTGCGTCTATGTAGCCACTTATACTTATTTCGGCCTAATAGGCCTCTGT